ACACACACACACACACACACACAGACAAACAGCATATCTTCAAAGGTATATTTCATACATTTTATAAATGTTATGGCATTAACAAACTTGCATTTTTCAGTTCAATAATGTTTAAAATGTGATTGTAAATAGAGCTATAACTGAAACTCTGCTTACAGCCTGTAAGCACAACTCCTTGACTTCTTTTTTTCTTTTTATCTTTCAGAGATGTACAAGCTCATGTGCTGTGATGAAGACCCGCATCAGACTGGACAATGGGCAGCTGGACATGCTGATCAGTCAGCTGCAACAGGTAGTCCATGGCAGGATTTGACTTCCAGGCAGCTGTCAACCACTTTCTGCAGGCACCTAGGCACCTGTAAACTGCAGGTCAGTCATGTAGTGTATTCATCATCATCATGTTCAGATTTTTCATTGCTAATTTTATACATTTTGTTTGCAGCAAAATAAAAATTCTGATTTGTACCTTGCTTTCTTGTAATTGCATTCTTATAAATGCAGTTTTATCTTATCTTATAAAGGTGGTGGGGAGAGAAAACAACTGTTTTATTACGAGGTTCTAATGACATGAGGTTCTCAATGCCTGCACAAGCCAGCCAGCCAGTTTTGTAAAGATGGGTGTTCACTGCTCTTCATGTTTGGACATTACTTGTGGTGTCCGCCAGGGGTCAGTATTGGATCCTAAGTTATTTATTCTGAATATTAATGATTTATGTAAGGTATCAGAGTCTTTGAAGTCTTATTTGCTGATGATACAAACATATTTTTCTCAGGTAATAACTTGAAATTGTTAGAGCATAGGATAAATACAGAGCTAACGAAAATAAAAATTGGTTTGACACTAATAAATTATCATTGAATTTAAGCAAAACTAAATTCATTATTTTTGGGTTTGGTAGAGCTAAATTAGAATTACAAGTTCATTTAGAGGGGTTTCAAATTGAAAGGGTGACTGAAAATAATTTTCTTGGAGTAATAATTGATGAAAAATAAGCTGGAAATCTCATATCAGACATGTACAAGTCAAAGTGTCAAGGGGAATTGCAATATTACATAAAGAAAAATAAGTTCTGAATTACAAATCACTTCATATTCTTTACCGTTCCATAGTTCCTCCATATTGGAAAAAAATTATGCAGTAGTTTGGGGCAATAATTCATTTCGCAAAATAAAGCAATAAGGCTAATTCACAGGGCTGGATATAGGGATCACACCACTTCATTATTCTTTTTGTCAAAACTACTCAAATTTACAGATCTTGTAGAGGTATAAACAGCACTAATAATATTTAAAGCAAAAAAACAAATTATTACCAGGTAATATTCAGACATTATTTATTGAAGGGGAGGGGAGTTATCATTGAAGGGGTCAGTTTAACTTTAAATCAAAGATTGTTCATAGAACTCGCAAAGGGCTTTGTATTTCTGTTGATGGAGTCAAACTGTGGAACAGTCTGAGTGTGGAACTTAAGGAATGTCCAAACATGAAAAAAATTTAAGGAGAGGTTTAAAAATGTTATTTTCAAAAGAGATAGGGATGCTGAGTGTGTTTGATTATTATTATTATTATTATTATTATTATTATTATTATTATTACTATTATTTGCAATATACAGAGATGTTTGGGGCTGTGTATATATGTGTGTACATGTGTGTATGTATACATTTATGTGTGTATGCATATACCCTGTACACGTACATTTACGTTTATGAATATATTCTGGTATTATATAAATTTGTAGATAAACAGATTGTTGTTTTAGTCTTAATAAAATTGTGACTTGGAATAAGAAAAAAGAAGAATTTACTATTTTTTAATAAGCTTCTTCCCATTCCTTTTCAAATATGTTAATTTTGTTATCGTTTTTTATCTTTTTTGTTTTGTTTTGTATACATGTTGGAAATAAACTAACTAACCCCTGCATGAGTAATATTTAATACAACCATACGTCACACTTGTGTTGAAAATTATTCTCAGCTACTCTGAAAATATGGCAGTTTTGTGTTTTTTTTTTTTTACCATCACTTAGCTGTGGCAGACATCCTGAAAGTCAATCAGCTGGAGCAGTTTATCCAGACTGAAAGTTTCATTTAAATCTGTCCAGTGATGCATGAGATATTTTGCTAACAGACATAGAACATTGACTCCAAATGGCAATATTTTAACTAAAAATCTTGTGCAACCTGTCAAACATAGTATTTTAGCACACTATCAAAAATTTTAGCACACTATCTGTAAAATGTACAGAGTTGTTGCCATTTTTTGAGTTTTTTAGGTCAGTTTGCTGTGGCAGTCATCTTGAACTGTGGTAAATCCAAAAGTTGATCAACTGCAGATGTACATTCCATGACTACTTTCTGCAAGTTTTGTTAAAATTTGTCTGGTGGTTCACGAGATATTTTGCTAACTGACACAAAAAAAATTGTCCATTTTTTCCAGCAACATCACATGATCAATAGAGTTAATAAACACACCAGGAGGAAAGTCTTTCCATGAAGTGTTCAGTGGAAAAGAAGGATGAGAGAAACATGCCTGTGTTTTCTGACGTCAACCAGAACTCAGAGCAGCTGTGAGGTCAGAGGGAGGAGGAGGAGGAGGAGGAGGAAGCATCACAACCAACAAGCTAAAGGAGAGGAGGTGAGCTCACGTGGAGGAGGGGTTTCATCCAGCGTGAGAGAGGTTACATTCGATGGTGGGGGGGAAAAAATCAGGAGAGAAACGGGAAGATGCTGTTGCCTAGGAAACACGGCTGAAAAAGAGAGATCTGTCTTTTGGGGCTCGTGGGAAGATGGAAACCCAACAGAAGACAGACGCAGAATGGATCAAACGTGGGACAAACAGGTGATCGTGACCTCAGACAGAATCCTCAAAGAATCAAACAGAAGGTAGGCAGTTGTGGTTACATAAGCAGCATGTTACAGCTTCTGCACAGCTGACATCATCAGAAGGATTAGAGCCCAGGGTGGGGTGGGGTGGAGGAGGAGGAGGAGGAGGAGGAGGCGGGGATTATGTGGAGAAGAGCAGAAGCGAAAGAAGTGGATCATTTTGTCCAAACTAAGCAGCATCTAAGGCTATGAGACGATAAAAACAATGTGACAACAAGATGTCAGCTTCTGACTCTCCTCATTGTTCTCCTCACTACAGGGGGAAACAATTTGCCTCCCTGTCTCCGTCAGCAGCATCTCCAACCAACAGGAATTGCGCAGCGGTCCAGTTCCTGAGGACACGAGCATATCACCTGGAGAATTAAATGGCGATGACCTCCACTCAGAAGCTTTAAAGACCAGAAGAAGAAACCAACGACACAGAGGAGAGCTTTATAAAAACGTGAGTATTTTTTTTAAACACGTGAAATTATTGTTTGTCAGGACAAATTCCAGAACAAACCCATTTCCATAAAAGTTGAGACGTTCTAAAACGGTACAGAGATTCACAAATATCATAAACCCATATTTTAGTCACAATAAAACACAATAAATGTTGATGTTCAGAAATTGTTCCATATTTTGGAGGAAAAAGTAATTTTGAACTAGATGGAGGCGACACGGTGGCACAGTGGTCAGAGCTGTTGCCTCAGAGAGAAGGTGGTAGGCTCATCTCGAAGCTGAGGCCTCTTCTTGGTGGAGTTTGCATGTTCTCTCTGTGCATGTGTGGGTTTTCTCTCAGGTTCCCACAGACCAAAAAACATGCATGTTAGCTTATTTGATAATTCTAAATTGTCCCAAAGTGAGAGTGCTTGTTTGTCTCTATGTGGCCAGGTGACGAACTTATCTAAGGTGTACCCCATCCCTCTTTCAATGGCTGCTGGAAACAGGAAGGGAAAGGGAATTTAATGGAAGCAGCACCAGAAGGTGCTACGCTGCAGAGATGGATGATATAGCTGCTGTGTCACAGGCAGTAAATTATGATCAAACTACAACTGTGACATCATTAAAAGAACAAATGAGCCTCCTCAGTGGGCCTGTCACTGCATATCAAGCTGCAAGTCATACAAAAAGAATAATTCAACTTCTCCCAAGAGATTTTTATTTGTAGTTCTTACAACAGTTTACTATCTCAAAAACTGATATTCAAAGTCTGTGAGAATGTGAGGAAAGGTGGCGCTGGACACAAATCCCCACAGGACATGTATTTGCATCATTACTTTGTATTAGTCAATCAAATATTCTCTTAATGTCTGAGCTTTGAAAATCCACATTTGGACAAAAAAAAAACATGTCTATAATAGAATTCCCCATGAGGTTTCTATGAGGCATTGCAGCTTGTTCTTGGGGTCAAACTGTGTAAAAAGCACCAGCAGTCTGAAAGCCTGCAGCGTTTAGTCCAGAATTAGTTCACTTTTCTCCTGCTGGGGGTTTTATTTTCATAAATGTAGCAAATCAGTGCCGTCCCAGTGGACAAATGGGCTGCGGTAACGTCTGCTGTGGCATGAAGTCAGGCTGGGACTGTGACGTAGCTCGGACACAACGCTGTTAAGATGTTTTCTCTGCATGACTGATATCTGGATGTTAGACTGCTGTAAATAACTCTGATATAAGAAACTATAAAAGCTGTGCATCAAATCCCAAGACCAGAAACTCATAGGTTTCTGTTTTGTTATATAAAATGAGGAGGTTGGTTGTATTGCCTTGAGGAACTGACGGATGTCTGAGCAAATTGCTTTCTTTTAGTCTTCTTTCCCATGGATATTGGTAAGAAAAATTCACCAGGCTTTATTAAGTTCTTTTATTACAGACCTTGTGTTTAAATTCAATCATATCTAAGCTCATATTAGCCTGAAAGAGAAAAGTAAAATATTGAAAAGACAACAATCAAGGGTTTTTGTTTTGTTCAAACTTAGAAAATAACATTTTAACAGTTTTGCAAAATGTCATTGTCACACTATGTGTTGTGAGTGACTCTCAGCTACAACCATACAAAAGTTTAGAAAAGAATAAGTAAAATTGACTGGCATATCCATTTTGGTGTTTCGTTTTTACTCTTCTGCAGCCTCTAGGTCAAAATCTCATAGTTTTAAAACTGAGACGTTTAAAGTACCTGTGATGTCAAATTTTTGTTAAAAATATGAATGTAGGTTTGGAAAAGATAACATTGGTAACATATTGTCAAAAAAATATGCTGCTGAGATGAACAGTCCTTGAGATATTTGCATGTGAATTAACAGGAAGTGATGTCAAAGGAGAATGTCTGACTGTAAACAGAGCACTGCGACAACAGCTAATGACACAGATTGTGGAATCTAAAGTTTATTTAGATTGTTTTGAGTCACTAGAGAGCGATGAAGCAAAGTCAGAGTTAAAATAACATTGTTTCAATAAACGAGGGCCAGGAAGTTCCTATTCTTAAAGAGTTCCCCGTTGATGTCACTTCCTGTTTCACTTTGGCTGAGCCAAGTTCTGTAAGTTTTTTTTCATTGACTTTTTATATTTGAAGGTTATGCATGTCACAAGTACTTATACTTTCTGCAAGTTTCATTAGGATTCAAAGCTCATAGGATATTGGTACCAAACAGACACAGAAACACGTGCATACGCCCACCCACACAGCAGGTGACAAATAAGCCAGTGCAGCTGCTTCCCAGGCTTGTAACAACCCATAAAACATGAAGTCATGAAGTTGGTGCTTTTGTATGTTTAACAAGTATTTTTTAAGAGAAACTCCTTTTAATAAATGGAAAAAGAAAAGGCTAACTCAAAATTTCCTTCCTCCCACGTTGAGACAGTAGCTCATCACGGTCTGGTTGCCGCCCACGTTTTTAAAGCCAAAATGTAGATTATCCAAATCAAATCAGCTGGGTTGTGTAAAACGGGTGGAGTCCCTCTTAAACACAGCTAACAGCAGTGTGTATTACAACATGAGGCCTCTCACTGAATGAGGTGATAAATGATTGTGTGTTTTTTTTTTTTGTTGTTGTTGTTGTTGCTCCCACCCAGCTGCAGCCTCTCCTCCCTGGCAGAGGATGGGAACAGCAGAAGCCACTTTGCGCATGGACAGCATGGAGGTGAAAGATGAGTGGCAGGACGAGGACTTCCCCAGGTATTTGTCAAAACAGTGTGTGAGAGGAAAGCTTTGAGGCTTGTTGATTTGCGCCCCCAGCTTGGAACACAGCAGATCCGGTCGGGATGGAAAGTCAGACACGTGTGTGCTTCAGAGGAAGCAGGTGTGTGTTTTCCATCATTACGTGGGGAGATGGTATCACGCCAGGGGACAAAAAAGCAGCTGGCAGAGATTTAGAAAAGAAAAAAAGGAAGACAAAAAAATAGAGGGAAATAATCCACCTTTTTTTTATTAGTTTGGTTATCATTCACCTGAGGACTGATTTATCATTTCAAATTGTTTTTTCCCCTTCCTGAGCTGCACAAATGTTGGTGCAAAGTTCCCGACAACATAATAACAACAATTATCCTCACAGCTTCATCAGATAGCCCGTATTTGTGTGGTTTTTGGGCGTGCTTGTGATTGAATTCCTGTGATAATGTCTTTATCCTTCTGTGTGCTGTTGTCTGTAATCTAACTCTTTCACCCCTGCTCACTGAAGCTGCCTCTGTTGCCATAATACTTTATACTGTGAGAGGAGCATTGGTAATTACTAGTGTCGCTTTACTTAAAAGTAGATATTGCTTCCTGAGGTGCCGTAAGGTTGTACTGCAGGATCATTAAGAAATGAAGAGCATGATTCAGTATTGATGCTTAACATTGTTTTTGAAATTGTAAAAATTACAATTTGCCCTAATAACAAAGGCAAAACATTTAAAAGTTTTAGTCTAGAGCAGCAGTCTGCAATTTTTGCAGTTAAGAAAATATGATTTTCCTTATAAATAAAACTTGTCCAAAAACACAAAACATGTTTAAAGTTTAAATAAAGGTAAAACAACCCAGTACTTTTTAAACAATACAGATAAAACTAATGCTTATTACATTACAAAACGAAAAAAATTACATTTTCTTTAAAAAAAATAATGTGTTGAATGACTTTGCTGAAATTTGATGAAGCTGAAAATGAGTTTTTAAAGCTAAAATCAGTAAAAGGCTCGCTAAAAGCCATAGATCAGAAAATATTAAGCCTACCTGAAAGCTAAAAGAAGCAAAACACTAGGTAAAAGCAGCAGCATATCAGCTAAAAGCTAAAATAGCAAAATGCTTGCTAGGATTAGATAAAGACTTGCAAAAGCAGTGCCATGACGTGTCCTGGCATGTGTCATGTGCCCACCATGACGGTGAACAATCTTTGTTTTCAGCTCATTTGAAAGTTGTTTTGAGACTCCCATGCTGTGACTCTTCAGTGAAGATGCAAAGAGGAGAAAAACTTACAATTGCCCCCCTTAAATACCCTTTCTCATAATTGGAGTCACCTGTGTTTGGAGATCAAGGGTCACTGAACTTACCAAACCAAATCTGAGTTCCAGTAAAGGTTTTGAAATCAATAAAATGAAAACGGTGCCCAAATTTATGTACCGGCCTAATTTTATTTAACCAGTTATTGCACACTTTCTGTAAATAATTTAAACTTCATTTCACTTCTCAAATATCACTGTGTTTGTCCCCTATATGATATATTTAACTGATATTTGTACTCCAAACAATCAATGATATATAAAGGTAAATCAGGAAAATTAGCAAAGCTGCCCAAACTTTCTCATCTCGCTGTAAATCTGTGGAAGATCAGGAGGTTTGCAACTGTGTTTGTTATGATTTAAATGTTCATGTTTATTGTGACATGCTTTGCATTCATTAACCTGCACTAGCTATTGTTTTTAAGGAGTTTAAACTTCCTGTTTATATTTGAAACTTCTACAGAAACAGATTATTAAATTACTGCATATAATTGTAGAACAAAATGAACTGAAGTAGATTTTGTGAATTTGGTGTGAAAAAAGACACATTACACCTCTAAGGTAACCAACATTTAACAAGGTTCTTGTGACTAAATGGAAGAAAGAGTGCTCCAAAAGCAGGATAGAGGCTTCCTATAAGTCATCACAAGACTTAAAATAGCACACTGCAGACTTTGCAAACATGTCAGCATATTATAACTTGCAAGAGCAGGTGAAAAGTGAGTGCTTTGATACTTCGGTTTTCTTTTTAAACTCCACTTTAAGTCATCGTCCAGCCGGGTAGAGCTGAGTTTATTCTGCATGCTGTAATTGATAAAGAAAATACACTGCTCAAATAAAAATTAAAGGAACACTTTTAAATCAGAGTATAATATCAAATCAGGTAAACCTCTGGAATACTGAGCTGTTCAGGTAAGAAGCAGAGGGAGTTGTTAATCAGCGTCAGCTGTTGATGAAATTTACAACAGGTGCACCAAAGATGCAATGATGAGACCCCCATAAACAGGAATGTTTTTTCAGCTGGAGGATGTAGACATTTCTTCCCAGTAGTTTTGGATTTGACCAAGGTCTATGTCACTGCATGAGGTGACACCTGGAGCTCATAGAGGCTTTACAAGTGGACCAAGTCCACCCAGATGGCACGACAATTTGTGCCATTGCTAGAAGGCTTGCTGTCTCCCGGCACAGTTTCAAGAGCATGGAGGAGACTCCATGAGACAGGAGTGCTGGACAGGGCCGTCGGAGGTCCTTAACGCATCATCAGGACCGGTATCTGCTCCTTGGTGCCAAGGATAATTATAAACTAACAGTAGAAATAGCTAAAAGTTGGGTTTTATTTTGTTTTTCAGGCCACTTCCAGAGGAGGGAGATGCTGGCTCGTGTGGGTTGACAGACAACAGAAACAGTAAGTGGAATAATCACAACTTCATCAACATTTTTTTCCTACTTTATGACATATTTACTCTTCTGCTGTTTCTAGATCCTCCCACCAGTTTAAACGTCGGGGCCTCCATAAACCAGAGAAAGCGACGCACTCTGGTTGCTCCTGACATGAACCTGTCCCTGGATCAGAGCGAGGGCTCGATGCTCTCTGACGACTGTCTAGAAACACCTGACGACCTGGACATCAATGTTGACGACATCGAGACTCCTGATGAGACCGACTCCCTCGAATTTATGAACAACGGCAACGAGCTGGAGTGGGAAGGTCCGAAACACAGCTTAGGAAACTGTAGATGAAAACTTTCAGAGAGAAACACTCATACTGCCATTTTAAACACATTTTTTTAAAAATTTAAATTACATTCATAACTTTTTGGTGTGTTTTCATAATGAATCTTGTGAGAACAAACCATAATATAGTCAAAAAAATCATAATATACTGAATTATTACAGAGAAAACCCTATAATGTGTCAGTTATGTCTGAATTATTGTGTATGAAATGCTTTTAGTGGCACCAGCTTTGGAGAAACCAGTGAATGGATTTACTGGCCAAATCTTTGTTTTACAAACCGCAAATCTACAAAGAAACAGTTTTAAAGACCAACAGGAGTTCTTTTGGTTTGTTTGTTTTGTTTGTTTTATTTAGATGACACTCCTGTTGCCACAGCCAAGCGTCTTCCAGGTGAAAACGAAGAAGAGAGAGACTCGTCTGGTTGTCTGTGGAGAACGGTGATTATCGGCGATCAGGAGCAGCGGATTGACATGCAGATCATCAGAACCTACGGGTGGTCACACATGGAGGTCAGTCAGTGTGTGTGTGTGTGMGGGGGGGGGGGGGGGGMGGYGGGGGACTGTTATTCCTTATGTTGTGGGACAGGTTTTTTTGGCATACACACCTACTTGTGGGGACCTGAGTCTAATCCTTTTAAAGGGGCAATATCATGTAAAATCAACTTTTTTGAGTTTTATATCATGTTATAATGTTATACTCCCATAAAAAACATGCCCAAAGCCTTGCTTTGACTCATTCATGCATGTTTGAGAAATCCTGCAGTTTTTAGGAAGCCATGCTGAGGAGCAAAACGACAGGCGGGGACCAGAAATGCCTTTTGGGACCAGAAACGCCTTTTGGGACCAGAAACGCCCCTGGGACGTGTCTTTAAGCTGAACTTCCTCATGGCAGAGCACACCCCACTCCCCACACACCCCGCCCATGACTCCTGCAGGCTCTCGGGTGAAAGTGAAAGTGAAACTTAAACTGTCTGCTGAGCTTCTAACATTAGTTCTCACTCAGTGAACCTCTTTTCAGATTAGAAATACCTTTGAGGAAATGTATTTTCAGATACCAAGTAAACTGTAGCATGGCAGCCTCCCCCCGTTCCCCCCGCGAGCATGACCCCCTCCCCCACACTGAAATGAGCGAGACAGAAGCAGAAGGTGGTTTTTAAAGAGACAGAGGCCAATTTCAAGGCATTTAGAAGAGGAAGTGATGAGAAGATAAGTTTATTTTCTATTTAAACATAAAAACAGCATTTTAATAACAGCTAAAGTTGACATAGATACTTTATTATGGTATAGTATTTAAATGTATGCCTAAAAACACATAATATTTCCCCTTTAAGTGGAACCACTGTTGGTAGGTCAGGGGTTAAGTTTAGGACTAAGGTGTGAATTGAGTTTAGATTAGTTTTAGGGTCAGGTAGGTCTGTGAAGTTAGGGTTATGATTGGTGGTCAGGATTAGGCTGTAGAATAATGGAAATCAGTGCCAGGTCCCCACAAAGATAGCTGCACCAGATTGTGGGTGTGTGTGTGAGCACCAGAGTTACAACAGTCTGGACGGATAGATGAGATGGCTGTACAGTGGTGCATTCAAAACAAAAATGTAGAGAAACCACATCATGACAGCACAGAATCTCAATCAATCACAACGAGGCAGCAGGCAGAATGAAAATACATTAAAACAAACTAAAAGTGAGAAATGACAAAAGCTTGTATTCTCTCTCTCAGGTTATTATGGTGAGGGTTTGAACGCCATCATCGTGTTCGCGGCCTGTTACCTCCCTGACAGCAGCTGTGACGACTACACCTACATCATGGAGAATCTGTTTCTGTAGGGTTTTTTTCTGTGATTCTTAAGACGTCACGTGTTTTATGTACAGAGGTTGCATTACGGATCCACATGTTCAGTTTGCTTGTTCCGTTTCTCAGGTACGTGGTGAGCAGCCTGGAGCTGCTGGTGGCTGAAGATTACATGATCGTTTACCTGAACGGAGCAACTCCTCGCAGGAAGATGCCTGGAATCAGCTGGTTGAGGAGATGCTACCAGATGATTGACAGAAAGTAAATCGAACAGTGGTGGATTTCTGAAAAAGTGGTGGAAATGAGAAGCGGGGGAAATATTACTTTACTGAGATAAATGCTTCAGATTCTCCTAATAGTGTTCTGATGTTTATGCAGACTGAGAAAAAATCTGAAACGTCTCATCATTGTTCACCCGACATGGTTTATCCGGACGGTTCTGGCCATCTCGAGACCTTTCATCAGGTAAGAGGCAACTTCCCTCCCTGCTGATGTGTTACTTAAGAAACTATAATATAACAGTGTTTTTGTTTCATGTTTGTTGAAGCGTGAAGTTCATGGATAAGATCCGATACGTTCAAACTCTGGAGGAACTGAGCCACATAATCCCCATGGAGCATGTTCAGATCCCTGAATGTGTGCTGCAGTAAGTGTTATCCACCACTAAGGGTCGCTGTTGAGACAATCCAAACATGTCTAATCTCATTTTTGTTACTTTATGAGTTACAAACGCACATACCCAGATGAAGTTCTGTAGATTTCATGCACAGAAGCATTCAAGCTGTTTTCTACACATTATAAGTTCTTCTCTCATTTCTCAACTGTATGTGGGGATAAAAAGCAATTAAACAGTAAATAATAAATGATATTATTAATAAACAACAAATATTTAAACATCAATCTCACATTAATTTCTGTTTATTTTTAAAGGTATGATGATGAGAAAATAAAATCACAAAAATCAAGGTAAGCAACACTTTTGGTTTTGTAGGCTATTAAAAATGTGTATTTTTTTCCTCCATGAAAAAAGTAATCGGGACTTTTTTACAGAATAGAGCATGAGAAGCAACACACCAACTCAACCTTCTCTAAAGAAAGGTGAGCGCTTGTTTATTTTCAGCTTTCCTCAGCTTAGTGTTCTTTAAAGATCTTAATAGATCTGTAATTGGAGTAAGATTATCAACTGCATTGGTTCTAGCTAAATATGTACAATTTGTGTTTCCAGACCAAAATCAATGATGGCAGAAGTTGGTCGTGACATCTGACATTACGGTGAGAAGTCCTGCTCATTTATCAGGCCCTTTAATAAACTCTGCAGGTTTATAATGTCAGCCCACTGTAATTTATCCCGAACGCACAGGGGGATTTCTTTTTTCTGTTCACACATATTTGCTTATGCGAGCAAAAGACACATGATACAGTTAATTAAAATGTTGGATGATGGATAGTCTGGAATGTTGGGTCACAAGCCAAAGGCCCAACGGGTCAGCTCTCAACACTGGGTCACCGAGGTCCAAATTATTCCACTGGCTCAAACCTCGAAACGCGGAAATTCTTTGAGACCATCTCGGAGAGTTCGTTTGCAGTGGAGACAAAACTTTTCGGTCCTTGTTCATAAATAGTTTGAGGTTGAGACGGCTTGGCTTAATGAGAACAGGGAACAGGTGTAAGTGGGCGGGGCCGGACTGAAGGATGACAGAAAACACAGAGAGTCACAGAAAACAAAGTGAACACAAAGAAAATACAAAAAGTAAGCATATTAAAACAGGAAAATAAACACAAAAAATATACTGTACAAGATGCATAAGCCTCTCATTCCAGAGACACTAATGTACCCCTATACCACCAGAGAGGCAAGCTCTTGAACTGTGTGCTGATAATTGGCTAAAACAAAAATCTAATTTCATTTCATTCTTCTTTGTTTCAGTCCATTTCAGTTGTGGCCAGTCCATGGTGGTNCCCACCTAAAACAAAAAAGTACTTTCTCCTAATAAAAATTGTAAATTGCTTACTTACCTTACCATTTATCAATTTGTTCTGTGTGTTTTCAACTATTTTGACTATTTTAAATGGAATAAAGGCTGATTTTCGAGCTTGTGCTTTTCACATAGATTTCCCAAAATTCATGTAAGAGGACATATTATGTAAAATCAAAAAGAAAAAAATTGTATAGCTCTTCTGGACGGGTTCTTCTCTAATGAAACGTTTCGTCACTTCTCCAAGAGACTTCTTCAGTCTGAGAGTTTCAGGCAAAATTCAGGCTTTTAAGCCCTGCCTTTTTAAGCCTGAATTTTGCCTGAAACTCTCAGACTGAAGAAGTCTCTTGGAGAAGAGACAAAACGTTTCATTAGAGAAGAACCCGTCCAGAAGACCTATACAATTTTTTTCTTTTTGATTTTTTTACCTGGATTACTGAGATGCATCAGGACATTATGTAAAATCCACTTTGTTTGTTGTTAAATACATTTTGTTGTGTACTTGAAGTCTTTATGAGTGCAAAAATTCTGGATTTAGTCTCTCCAGGTGCTGCATAGATACCTTTATATTCGTTTTGTGTCATATTTGTCCAACCCATGTAGTTTTCTCTATTTTTTAATTTCTGAACTACAGTTTTAAGTCAGCATTTGCAACAGAACAGACATATAATGTCTGGACTTACCAACTACAATTTGGTGGTCTTCATTCTCCTCTGGATCTGGGTCAGACACTGGTTCCAACATCTAAGGCTGGATGGACAAGTCTTCACTTGTTGCCATCTTTTAATTTATTTGTAAATCAAAGGTTTCTGCACCGGTATATAGTCGTAAACCCAATTATCGAATGGACCACTCTGGAAGGTGTAAAGCACGTTGTTTGGATTTAAAGATACAGCCTCAAAACGAGTTGATGAGAGAGACACATCAGAAAAGGGGGTGAAAGAGGGGCTTGTGGAGTTACAATAATGAGGACTTCAGACCAAATCATTGCAGTTCCACTTTATATAGACCCCAACTGAATGATTTGAATTTGAAAAAGCATTTAAAAACATGATATGCCTTCTTGAAATCTATTGATGACATTATGATTTATACATTTTATTTACAACTTTTTTTTTATTTTCAAACCTGCACCTAAAAAGGCTTTGATATCATTCTAGTCATTGCATCCAATTAGAGAAGCGACCGTAATTCGTGAAAATGAATCTGCTGCACACCACTCTCTGATTACCGTCAGACACCGAGCCAAGCTCTTTTCTGCCAAGTCATGTTTCAGGTGTGGAAATTCAGACTGTGTGCAGATCCAAGTAATGTTAGTTAATCCTCTAACAGCACTCCCGTGTTACATAAAGTCCAGCTGCTTGTCTCCTCAAACCAGCCTGCGCAGAACCAATCAGGTCTATTTTTTGCCAGACTCCAGTGACGAGATTGATCTGCGCCACGGAACCTGTCATGAAATCTGGGGGGGGAAATACCCACCCAGACCAGTCAGCGTGGGTTAGTGAGGGGAAAATATGGAAGATTATTTTAGAAGCTCAACCCTATGCGCAGCACCAGCCCTCATATATCAAAGAACCTCCACCCAGAGGATTGGCTGACATCCCAGGAATGGACACAGGCACCGTCTCTCGACCAATATGATATGTGTCAGGTTGGGTTTAGTTTAGATTTAGTGTCTATGCTCAACATGCCACAGAATCTAAACACTCCATCTGTGAGCTTGCACCAGTTTTAAACTGTTAGTGGAAAGCAATGAATCCAACTTTATTTATTTGTGTTGCAGGACTTTCTGACATATGGAAAAATGGGAAACCGGCATCACGAGCTTCTTGCACAAGAAAACCTCCTGAACGGAGCTAATTAACAGCTGCAGGACAATCATTCCTCTGTATTTCTCCTCTTTCACATGTGTAACAAAAAACTATAAGAAGACTTTGCAGCTAAAATAGAAAAAAAAAGCTTCCTGCATGTGAAATTGAGTTGAACTGTAAAGCATGATTCCAACTTTAAATAACAAAGAACTCTTCTTGGAGACTCTGTGACGCAGTTGTAATATATTTTTAAGAAACACGTTTGCACATGAATGCCATGAGTTTCGTTCGGTTTTATGGGTATTTGCTAAAACAATGTGGAACAATCTTTTTTTTTTCTAAACCTATGATTGATGTTACAGATGCAAAAATGTGTTGCGGTTTCTCCAGCGTTAAATATGCAGTCAGCATGCTTGTTTGTATCCTTCTCTCCTTTGATACATAGTTTTTGTTAGTTTTCAAAAAATAAAAATAAAAAGTTGTTACAATGGAAATGAAGTACATTTTAAGAGAGAGTCTTATTAAATATTTTAAGTGTTACTCATATGTGCCATTCACTGTTTGTACAAAAATAAATAAATGCGCTAAAAGACTTGTTGTGATGATTCATAGTCTTGACTCTGTCTCATGTCCTAAAGTCATGTTTCATTTCCAGTTGACTTTACTATAAAAGCTTATTCAAGGACTGCCAAAAAACACACTTAGACAACTCCAGCTGGTTCAGAATGCTGCTGCACTTCTTCATTCATTGCTACTAAGTTCATAGACTAGACTAGAGAGATCTTTCTTGTCATCGTACAGAGCACAATGAATTTACAGTTCAGAACACCCATCCAGAAGACAGAACATAAACATTGGAGAACAGGTGCCCTGGGTCATGCATCCCCTGCACAGAGCAAGGATCATCTTCATGAAGACATCACAAAGAGGCGCAACCCTTAACAGAAAAACTAAAAACCACACAAGGACAAATGAGGAAAAAAACAAAAACCATGTTATATCAACACTGTGACACACTATGGTGTTTATAAAAAAAACCCTACCTAACTTACACATATTTCTTCTTGTCCATAAATCACTGCACAGCTTAGCTCCATAGAACCTAACGGACCCACCTGCGCACTATAAACCC